CAAGGCAGAGTGGTTTTGAGAGCTCTGCATAAAATTGATGACTGCGAGAGCGGGGGCCAGTGTGGGGTGCAGCAGAGTTAGGCAGAGGATGGTGGGGCTGGGTGAGCCAGCTCCCTGCAAAATTCACTCTGAGAGTCTTCCCTGCACAGCCCCAGCTCCCATCTGGCTCTGCCCTCCTGTGTCACCTACACCCACCTTTCCTCCTTCCTCGTGTGTGGGTGATACATGAGGCTGTGAGTGACAAAACAGTTATTTTGCAAGACTCCCACACCTCTCCCCACCTTTGGCACCATCTCCCAGCCCCATGCGTGCCACCACAGCTCATAAAGAAGTGGGAGGGGACATGCTGTCCTGACGCCCTCCACTACGCCTGCATCCGAGTGCTGTGGGGTGAGAGGGGTCCTGGGCTTGGGTCCCTCATGAGGCTGCGATTTTCCCTCACAGGCAGCCTGGCTAGGCATCAATATCTTCCTCTTCACATACTACTTTCTATTCTTCGACCGGGATGAGCGGTATATCTACACCAGGGTCATCCTTGGGGTAAGGTGCTTCCCTGCAGCACCCTGCCTGCCTGGGCACGCATGGCCCTTGAAGCCCTCCTGCAGTGAGTGGGTGCTGCAGCATCCCATGCCCCTTCCTTGTCCTCTTCCAACCCACCATCGCTCCATCCCAGTCCCCAGCCTGGCATTACCCCCTCCCAGTCCCCAGCCCAGCATCCCACAGTACCAGCTCAGCATCGCTCTGCCCTATCCTGTCCCAGTCCTGATGACACCATGCTGGGCAGAGCTGTGGGGGACAGCACAGCTGCAGACAGACATACCCCATCTGCAGCCTGGGACAGTGACGCTCACCTCCTGCCCTCTCCCCAGTCTGCCTTGGCATGGGCCCGGGCATCGGCCAAGTGCCTCAACTTCAACAGCATGCTGATCCTGCTGCCCATCTGCCGCAACCTCCTCTCCTTCTTCCGCGGGACCTGCTCGGTAAGTGTCCCATGGTGGCATGGCCAGTGTGGCCATCCCTGTCCCCCTCTCCATCTCCATCCCTGCCCTAATGCCACCACCTCTCCCTGCAGTGCTGCAGGCGGACACTGCGGAAGCAGCTAGACCACAACCTCACCTTCCACAAGCTGGTGGCCTACACGCTGGCCCTGCTCACAGGTACGGCCCTGCGCCAGGCTGGGGCATGGTGGAGACAGAGAGGTGGCCAGGTGGGTGATTGTCTGTCCCCTGCTTAGCTGTTCACACCATCGCTCACCTCTTCAACCTGGAGCGCTACAACCACAGCCAACAAGCCACCGACGGCAGCCTCCCCGCCATCCTCTCCAAGATGCACCTGGAGGGCAGCAAGTGGCTGAACCCCATCCATTCCAACCAGACGGTGAGCGCTGGACTCAATACCCAGCCCTTCAGGACTGCCTGTGCTCTGCCCCCCTAACCCATCCTGCCATCCCTGCAGACCGTCGAGTATGTGGCCTTCACCACCATCCCGGGGCTGACGGGGGTCATCATCACGCTGGCGCTCATCCTCATGGTCACGTCCTCCACCGAGTTCATTCGCAGGAACTACTTTGAGGTCTTCTGGTACACACACCACCTCTTCCTCATCTACTTTGCTGGCCTCGTCATCCATGGCATCGCGTAAGGCTCCTCACCACTCCCCAAAAGTAGGACAGCGAGGGCAGTGGCCACAGATCCCCGGT